CATTCTTCTGTATACCAGCATATCACCTTGAAAGTTAGTAATTGGATAACATTCGAAATACTTCATATTAAACTTTATACCGCTACCTCGGAAAGCCCACGCTGTAAAGGGTTTTTGAAATTTCCAGGTTTTGCGAAATTGGAAAAATTCCTTTACAGAAGCGGTTCATGGTCAAAATCAGTGTCACAAAAATGGCAGACCAAAATAGGATTCATTGTGCAACTCATTTAGAACCGCGATATTCAACTAAATGAAAAAAAGTTTTCACTGAAAAGTGGCAAATAAATCAATTGAACCTTCCCAGAGTATATGAACTGTTGTCTTCGAAAAATGGCAGACCAAAATGCAACTTTACGTCAAAGTAATTGTCTTCGGAATTCATTCCTTTTAAAAATTATCATTCAATAATTAAGTAAGCATGTATACTAAAAATGGACTGAGAAGATGCTTTTTAAATATTTTTCTTCAACTACGCCTTGCGAATCACATCCCTGAACCTGTTATTTCCGACCAAAAATGTAAAAAGGTGGATAGAACGTTTCTTCAATCAACAAGGCTGCATTACATCAATCCACAATATAACATACAGATGGATATAAAAGTACAGGCAGTTAGTTTCGTAATTAGGTGTGATTTAGCATCATGCGTTGTCAGTTTTATTATTTATTGTTTGGTTACGTGTTTTACACGTGCATTTTCCTAAAGTATGTTCTCTTCCAACAACAGTAGCTAGCCAACACTCATCTCAAGGTTGTTTGGGACATATGAATCGGAGTCACCATGGCTTCCAACGAACAATTGTCAAGATTTGCTCCGCGCAAATTCGCTTCTTGCAAATCACTACCGGACAAGTCGCAACCTTCCAAATCTGCACCGGCAAGACAAGCTCCTCTCAGGTCACAGTTACGCACATTCGCATTCCGCAGTTTGGCAACCCTCAGATTTATATGCTCCATGTCGCTGTTTTCGAGGTTTGCTCCCTTCAAATTCACTCCTGTTTCATTCTTCTGTATACCAGCATATCACCTTGAAAGTTAGTAATTGGATAACATTCGAAATACTTCATATTAAACTTTATACCGCTACCTCGGAAAGCCCACGCTGTAAAGGGTTTTTGAAATTTCCAGATTTTGCGAAATTGGAAAAATTCCTTTACAGAAGCGGTTCATGGTCAAAATCAGTGTCACAAAAATGGCAGACCAAAATAGGATTCATTGTGCAACTCATTTAGAACCGCGATATTCAACTGAATGAAAAAAAGTTTTCACTGAAAAGTGGCAAATAAATCAATTGAACCTTCCCAGAGTATATGAACTGTTGTCTTCGAAAAATGGCAGACCAAAATGCAACTTTACGTCACAGTAATTGTCTTCGAAATTCATTCCTTTTAAAATTATCATTCAATAATTAAGTAAGCACGTATACTAAAAATGGAACCATTTCTAATTAGAAGATGCTTTTTAAATATTTTTCTTCAACTACGCCTCGCGAATCACATCCCTGAACCTGACCCATTATTTCCGACCAAAAATGTAAAAAGGTGGATAGAACGTTTCTTCAATCAACAAGGCTGCATTACATCAATCCACAATATAACATACCTATATTTTCATGTCCGTCAATCAAAGCATTAATCCACACTAAATCGTAGTACGCAACAGTCAAAATAATAAATAACAAACCAATGCACAAAATGTGCACGTAAAAGGATTTCATACAAGAGAACCAACAACAGTAGCTAGCCAACACTCATCTCAAGGTTGTTTGGGACATATGAATCGGAGTCACCATGGCTTCCAACGAACAATTGTCAAGATTTGCTCCGCGCAAATTCGCTTCTTGCAAATCACTACCGGACAAGTCGCAACCTTCCAAATCTGCACCGGCAAGACAAGCTCCTCTCAGGTCACAGTTACGCACATTCGCATTCCGCAGTTTGGCAACCCTCAGATTTATATGCTCCATGTCGCTGTTTTCGAGGTTTGCTCCCTTCAAATTCACTCCTGTT